GCCATCGAGAAAGCTGAAAATGGTAATTTCAATCTGAGTTGGGAGGAGAGCTACTCTCATCCATCCTTTCTCTCTGGACAGCCAGTCATCTATGAAGTGAAATACTGGAGGAAGCAGCACCCAACAGAGGTAAGAGACACCCAGTCTCTTCATTTTCTGTCTCTGGAGCTTTAAGGTTTAAAAAGTCCTCTTGAAAGTCACTTCATTAATAATAATATAAGGGCCAGCCAGAGCACAGTGATCCTGATTACACACTTGCCACAGTTCACTTTGCACCCAAGATGGTTCAGCTGGGTGTCAAAGAATTGAAACCCAAAATGGTCTGCTGCTTGCAATAGACAGGGCAGAGATTGAAAATACAATGCTTCTATTCCCTGAACTTCATTTGCCCTTTGACATCAAGAAGCTGGAGGTTGATGGCTCTGTGGGGCAGGTGAGTTCTGAATAATCCAGCACATCTGGGCTGGGCTGCTTCTGATAGTAGAAGAACATGCATGTGGTGGGTAAAAAATGCCACCTGCTGATGACATGAATTGCAGTATCATACATAGTCATTCATTTGTTCATTTGTGAAAGGTCACTGAAACACATAACACTATTGGTATGTAGTTGCTATCACTAACCCTTCACCCTGTAAAAAATCAAAGAGAACTTTCTCACTTTCTTTTCAGATTTCTGTAAAAGCAATTAACTACCAGGCAAACAGCTTTGAGATTACTGCAAGCTCCTTGAAGAGAGGCTATGATTATGTTGCAAGTCTCAGGTGTAACTATGTGGACTACCCAGCCTACTGGAGTGAATGGAGTGAAGAAGTTGAATTTCACTATGGTAATAGTGTCAGAAGTATCAGCTTGGTAAAAGGATGGTATATAGTCTTACATACTCTGCTGCTCTCTTGGAGGAGAGTTATGGACTCATCATCATTTTGAATGTAATGTGAATACATCAATAAAGGCTTCCAAAGACACTAAACATAGGCAAATCTTTGGGAAACTAAGGAAGAGAAGACCAAGGGAGGTTGGATTGCTTAGCCTTGTGAAAAACAGGCTGAAAGAAATCTGTTTATTCTCTATAAATGTTTCATGAAATAGACAACAGGGAAGTTGAAGAGATGTTTGAACTAAACAGCAATATAGATGTGAGAGCAAGTGAGTATAAATGAAATATATATATGCTGCAAATAAAGCAGTATTTTAATAGAGGTAGGAGGGTTTATAAAAACCACTGAAGAGCAGCAGAGAGAACAAGAAACATAGCTGCACTACAGTGACAATGATGATGCCATTTTAGGCACTGTGTGATAGCCCTTGTCCCTGAGGGCTGACAGTGCACTGAGGGCTGACTGGCTCTCCCAGCTCCTGCCACACCCAGTAGCTGAGCACACTACCTGTGCCAGGTCTCTGACACACTGCACACCATCGCTGCTGGCAGCTGTGGGAGTCTGTTGTTAACGTGCTGGAAGCTTTATTTTACATCCTCTAAAAGAGCATTTTTTTGAGTTGCAGAAGAGCAGCAAATAATTTGGTATTATCAGTACTTGCATTTAGATGCACATTCACGTGTAAACATTTGCTTGTTTAACAGATTACCAGGTGAAGGCTGAAGACATTCTGCAGATGGCTGTGCCCACATCCTGTATACTGATCATGGCAGGATCCATAATTTGTTACTTCTGTTTCACCAAGTAGGTATCCTGCTTGCTACAGAGTATAGAGTAACAGTTTATACACATATCAGTATTGGTATTGGTTAGACAAATCTCTGGTGGCACAGAAATCTAATGTTTTGGGTTTTCTCAGCACCTTTATCTAGCTGTCTGTGAGCAGAGATTTTATAAACACAAGTCAGTTTTGTAAACTCTGTCATTTTCTGAATGGTCTTATTAATCTTACTAGAATAGGCTTATTGCAGTAGGGGTTGTCAGGGATTATCAAACCCTGGTCTTTGTTGGAGTTCAAGTAATGTTGGCTAAATACCTTTATTTCTTTCAAAAATTTTTAAATGGTAATGTTAAATTTTTAAATGGCAATGAGATCATGTCTATTTCACACATCCTTCTAAACATGATTAGAAGAACAGGTGACTGTCGTTGTGCAGAGCAGTCACATACCAAACATACAAACATCTTTGCACTGGTTTAATGAAAATCAGGAGATGCCCAAAATGAACGCTTTCTGTTGCTGATGCCTAAGAGGGAGAGGAGAACAGAAGAAAGAAATGTAAATTGATTAAGCCCAAGTACAATCAAAACAAGTAATTTTCATTCTTCCCTTGCAGAATGAAGAAAGAATGGTGGGATCAAATCCCAAATCCAGGAAAGAGCCAATTGGTTGTAAAAAATGTCAAGGTAATTTAAAGGCTTTGCAAAAAATACCTTTTTCTGATCATCAGAAGTAGAATATAATAGTAAATTCTATTGTCTGTCTAGTATAATGGATGCTAAATACAGTCATATGTGTCCTCAATCTCATTTGTATCTTTATTAGTTTTCAGTTTTGTGCTACTTTGATGAAATTAAGTTCCCGTTCCAGGACTTAAAGCAAAGTCACCTGGAACGACAAATGTAAGTAAGATTGAAAAAAAAAAAAATCACTCTGCTTTACAGCATAAAATTGTTTCCTGTACCATAAACAATAACTGTCCTCTCCTTTTGACTTCCAAAAACAGAAGTTGCAAGAACTGTCTGGCTCAAAGTTTGGCAAGCCAAAACTTCAAAGGAAAAGATAACATCAGAAATGTTGAGAAATCTTGCAGTTGCCACAGCAGATCTGAAGAGTGGTTGCCAAAAGGCAGCAGTGCAGTTTTAACCCCTGATACAATACCAGTTGAAGAGTGTATAGAAATTTGTGTATGTTTAACAGACAGTGAAACTGAGAGCCAAGAAGAAACTAGCAACCAGATCACCATGTTTGAGCCTTGTGAGAGCAGCATTGGTGTTTTCAGAGAGCACCCTGAACACAATGAGTTACTAGCTAGCATGTTTGATGCACTCCTGGCAAATGAAAATAGCATGCAAGACAATAAAGGCCCAAACATCCCCACAGCAGAGGGGAAAACCTTAGAGAGCATTGGGTCAGAAAATCCATCACAGCAAAATCCAAAAGAAAGTGAAGCCCAGAGTCCACAATCGTGTGATATTTCTCATGCAGCTCCCCTTTTCACCAAAGCCTCTCAAGATGACTACAATTGTAGTACAGCCAGCAAAGAGTCAGAACTATCAGAAGAATCCTTTGAATCTGGCTATCGGAGCTCCAGCATAAATTCTGCTTCTCTGGATGCAAGAGATCATCAACGAATGGTTCATCAAAGCCTTTTTCTATGTAGTTCTGCAAGTGAGCTTGACTCTTGTGTCCTGATCCAGGAGTCTACAAATAAATCATTGTCTGGAACCAAAACAGACAGAATAAACAGCCCTGCATACAAGAGTTCTGATACCCTTGTATCTGCATCCATGGGATTCTGTGGTTCTGCCTACAAGAGCTGTGACACCTTTTTGTCTCCATCCCTAGAATCCTGTAGCTCTGCCTACAAGAGCTTTAATATGCTTGTGTCTGCATGCAAGGAACCAAGCAGCTCTGCATACAAGAGCTTCAGTGCCCTCATGTCTCAGTCAATGGCTGACAGTAGCCAGACTCTGGGCTTGGAAAGCGTGCCTTTCTCACTGCCTGTGAGACAATTGTCAGAGACACCTGGATGCAGCTGCAGAGATCAAAGTGCTCAGCCTGCTAGCAATCAGATGTGTTGTAACAACTACAGATCTCCCAGCACTGAGCTTGATTTTCCAAACACCTGTTCAGAACATTCTGATTTTCCATCTTTCTCCACACATGCAAATGAAGGTGCTTCAGCTTTTCTTTCAGAGGAGGAAATGCGTAAGCAAGTAATATATCAAAATGTTCAAAGGAAAGCAAATACAATTTCTTGTCCCACTGCACCTCAGCCATCTGGCTATCAGCCTTTTGGTAGTGTAGGTAAATGTAATTGTCTATACTGGGACAGTGACAATGAGGTTATGTCTACATCACTATATGAATCCTTCATTAATCTGTGCAACAACCTGAGTGAAGCACCTCCCGATACTGCAATCTATGAATTGGACCCAAGGATAAAGGACGGTGTGTTCTTGACTGTTCAGGGTTCTGACTGCACCATTGTCCCAGGTTTAGCATCTAGGGAGAATGACACACAGACTAGTGATGGCAGCCCTTGGATCAACAGCGCTTATGAGCTGAATGGTGATAGCAACGAGGAAAATACCAGGAGAGATGAACAGCTGTTGCATTTGTTAGAAATGAAATATCAAGACCTAAACAGCAGAGAAAGAGCTACAAAGGCAACAAAATGGAAAAGCTTTAACCTTACTGGTAAAATAATGCAAGAGGGTGGTGATAACAGGCTAAAATACTGACTTCCACTGCCACTCACACAACCACTTGAAGGAACTTGGAGATGCAGGGGGAAGCAAAGAGGTGCTGAAGCATGCAGATGGGGGCGGGGGGTGTGACTCAGCAGTCAGCTTACCAGCATCACTGGATGGTATTGGTAGCCCAACTTAGCCAGAAAAACTGCAGAGCTCCTGGAGCTCCATGGCTCAGACAAGGTGCTACCTTGTCATTTTGTGAGTAACTCCTATCCTTCTGACTCTCACACCATTCACAGTGAGGACTCCAGACACTTGCAGTTAAAAAAAAAAAAGACCAGTGGAACTGTTAATGGGAAACAGCAGGAAGAACGAGAAAAAATGAAACTTTTGTGCAAACCCTTGCCCAAGAGGACAACTGCTATATGGAGGTAGCCTAGCCAAGACCGAACTAGTCTTTAGAAATAAACTGTATGGCAAGTTGAATTGTTGCTTGTTGTTTCAATCTTGACTGAAGTGAGGGCTGCTATAGGTCACCCATGATTCATTGGGTTGTGTCACTTATGCCTGCCTGGAACTGGCAGCTGGGACATGGTGGAGACCCCTGGGCACAGTTGGGTTTGGAACCCAGCAGTGGCAGCCACAGCTCTACAGAGACAAAGTCAAAGATGCTGTCTCCAGCTGTGAGAAATCTCTAAAAGGGAGCAGCAGCTGCAGGAAGCAGGAGTTATTAGTACAGCTCTTGTGGTTATTGCCCTGGCTGTGTGTTGCTTGGGAAGCACAAAGGTTATGTGGAATATGCTGACATACCTGAAAGTGGGATATAGGTCAGGTCCAAAAGGAAGGTGTTTGATTTATCATACAGCTTCCAGAGCTTACTTCTTTTGGGGTGGGGGATGTTGTCCTGTGTGCTTAGCCCTGGCATGGGGTGTATGTTTCTATACCTGCACAATCAAGACCTGAAAAAAAGATTACCATCATTTTCACTTACACAGTGTTATTATTGGTGACTGATTAGTTTTTTTATCTTGTAGAAACAAGAAGTTACTTCAGCAGCTGTAAAAGGATTCAGGGATTTCTAAGCAGTGTTTCTTCCCAGAAGGATTATCCAGTGTGTGGTAGGACAACCTACCTTAATGAAATACTTTTTTTTAGCTTCTTGTTCTTGTCCAATCAGAATGGGAATTAGCCTGCACCTTAAAGGCACTATGTACTTCTTGTTGGATAATTATTCAAGAAGTTTTACTGATGACTTCTCTACAGCATAATTATATATTTCAGTATGGTAAATTCCACCATAGTATGTTGCCAACAGCATAAAACAAATAAGAACCATAAAGTAATGGAGGTTTTCTATTCAAATGTACAGATTTATTCTCATTTAGAAAACTCTATATTGCTATTCATAAGGAAGGAAACCATAATGCTAAGCACAGCAACTGGTACTGCAAATCTCTCTTCTAAGTAGTAGAGGTGTCTATGTAGGGACACCGGTTGTGCTTTCTTTCCCTTTTACACCTGTGCACTCTCTTGCGTTCTTTGTGAGAAGAAAGATTTTGCCTCCACGAAGGCTTGTGCTTGGCTGGAGAGGTCTGCTTAGGCCAACTTTGCTGCAGCACTTTCTCCTCTGCTGAGCCCTAGCTCCATTTTGCCTTTCCCTGCCATTTTTGTTCCACATAGCTATGCTCTCCAGTCTGTACATTTCCATATTACTGTTTTCTGTGTGGGGTTATTCTTCCCTTTCTCTCCCTTCAGTGTTTCTCTGGTGAAATGGAACCTGACTCTCAGAGAAGGGGGATCCCTGTTCCTATGTTTTTGTATAACCCAGAGCTGGAGACAGACAGTGGGGTTGGGGTCTGGCTCACTCTCTTTCTGCAACAGGAATGGTGTCTGGCTGTAGTGTGTGCTGAATTTCCCGTTACATCCTCTAACCCTGCCACTTTTGCCATCCGTAGCTATTACCAGGCTATGAAACACAGGTGAGTTTCAAGTGACAGATTTCCAGCCCAAGCTGGTGATCTGCGCTTTGGGTGGTGAGTGGGAGTGGTGACTTTGAGCTGGCAGTGAGGGGTCTGGAGGTCACCACTTGGGGACCAGCCTGTGCCTGCATGCTTATACAGAGAGAGGCAGCTCATCCTCCCAAGAGAGGAGCTTTGGTACCCTCCAGGCATGTCCTTTTTGCAAGTGGAGGGCTCCTGCCAGGACAGAGAATTATTGATCACGGTAAGCATATATTCATTGGTTTTCAGGTTGTTTTGAAAGAGTGCCGTGCAAGTGAAGGCTTGTGCCAAATTTTAGCCTAGTTATAGTGCTGTTTATTACTTGCTCACAATCACTCCACCTCCACATCTTTCTCACTTGTCTACCTACCAAATACTAGCAACCTGGCTCACCATGAGTGAAATAGGTTCCTGAGAAAAAAAGCCGGTGCATTCACAGTTCAGGAGAAGCTAGTTCAAATACATTCCTTTCCCATTGCAGAAATGCTACAGGCTTGGCATCTTTTCATTTCTCTTCTGAACAGAGTTGGCTTCTTGGAAATATGCACCTGTAAGGATCAGCTGTTGGCAAATTCCCCTCAATCATGAGTTTTATCATTGCCCATAGAAAACTAACAATAACCACACAACAAGGGTTATCCTAGTATAGAGCAGGACCTTGAAGATGGGGAAGTCAGGTTCTTGGGGGTAGGGACAAGTTAATTTAGGGTGAAGGAGGGGTCAGCTTTTTAAATAGCTTGATTCTACCTCTTTCTTTGTGACCCTACATTGTTTAGGCAGGGTCCAGGGATGTCCAAGTGTTCACCCACCATGAGCTACAAGCTTTATGTAAGAAAACCAGTTCTTTTAAGTGTTGCAATGATACGGCCAAATGAACAAGGGGTTAGAGAACTAAATGTGAGGGTTGTAACTCCCAAAACCCTGCTCCCTAAAGTTTACCTCTGACTATGGAATTATGTGATAAAACTCCTTAATGAAGAGAGGCTGAGAGAACAGTTTGTTTTCTCCTAACCAGAAAACCTTTTAGGGAGCACAATTCATGCCTTTTTTGTTCTAGCCCTGACAGAGGTGCTTCCAAAGTGTGTTATTTTGTATGCAGTTTCTTTTATAAAAAAATAGGTAATGTTTAATAATTGTTGGGAGGACTATGCCTAGGCAATGACCAGGCATGTGTGCCATGCATGCACACAAAGAGAACATAAGAGAACATATCTCACCCCTGCAGATTGCTGAATACAAGGTCTGCCCCAGGCTCCCACGTGATGATGTATTTTGATCTCACATTACCCAGAATTTTCATTTCTTTCAGCACGCTTCTGCGACTGAGACCTTGCAGTCATGGCCACAGCCCTCAAGGCCTCTCCTACTGCACCTAAGTCACAAGGTCAGAAACCAAGCAACAGCTCAGCAGGAACTTTCTGGAAAAAAAACAGGGAGACCAGTGAACTGGTTTGGTTTTCAACTGTGGGTCTTTCTAATCAGATTGCTCCAAAGCAAAGGAAAAACACAGCCAAGTGAGGAAGAGAGCACTTTCCAGATACCTCACTAACACAAACAAAGTTAAAGCCTAATGAGTTGCCATATGTTGGCCTGTTCCCAGAGTGCCTAATAACAGCTATCAGCAGCACAGCTGGATTGCTAAATCCTGAGTGGTTTCATTCCTCATGACAAGCTTGTTGAGAAGAACTTTACACCTCTGCAGAGCTCTGGCCAAAGGCGCTTTGCTCTATTTGTTCCTTTTGCTGTCCTGCTTCCAGTCTGCCCCCACTTGGCTTTCTATAACATTGAAATGTCCATACTGTCCCTTCAGTATGACTGCAAGATGAAAGAGAAGAAAAAGTGGCAACAGCCCTAGTTGAACGGAATGGGGAACTGGCTGCTGTGGCATGTTTATCTGCATGAGGGGAAGAGCAGCTGTTTTTGTCTTTTTTTTGCTCTTAGCCAGAATGCTGTCTATAAAACTGACCATCTTTGCATAAGACCTAAGATTCTATATTCTGAATGCAGAGAGGCAATTGTCATGGCAAGAGTACCACAGTCTGTCTTTGGTCGAGGGATTACTGTGCTAGACCTGCCGCAGTCCAAGGAGCATGGCAGGCGTCCTAAGGAGCTCCTGCCCCAGTTTAGTGATGGATCAGCCATTTCCTTCATCCTGTCTCTACCCAATCGTAAAGAGCAGGGCATTCATAACACTGTGATGTTTGTCCTCTGATTGAAGGCTACCAAGTTGGTGACTAATACATAGTACTGGGATTTTCCTACTTGTTGCTGTTTCCTCAGCTCTTAGAAATGGGGAAATTTGCTATAAGCTGAAGGGTTTGAGGTTGACTGCTTCTCCCCAGCTCAGCTACTGCTGGTTTCACTTGCAATGAGCCACCCACACAGCAACAAGAATTACAATGAGGTGAGAAAGCTGGACGGCGTTCTGGGGGTAGAATTTCCACGCCTGGGTCAACCTTTTAACCAGTCCCCAGTTCTTGTTTTGACGGCCTAGGGAGTTTCTATTAGAACCAGATGGGCATTGGCCATGGCTAGCTGTGGAGCCAATGCCTGTGGTAAACACCCAGCTGAGGTCTGGAGGAGCTGGCCTGTACTGTGCTGCAAGTGCTGACCAGTGCACATGTCTGACAGGCCGTGGGCTTGAAGGTTGTGCAGGGCAGTTCACTGCTGGGTGGTCTTCCCTCTCCACTGCCTGGCTGAGATGCTTCAGAAACACATAGCATGCTCCTCCACAACATGATGGGGGGCAATGAAGCCATTAAATGCCTTGTTTCCTCCGCTATGGCAGGAATTTGGATACACAGTTTGGCCTGTGCTGAGTATTTCATGGCCTCATTCTGAGCTGTACTGGGCCCTTGCAACAGACACTGTTGTCCAGAAGTATTAGGAATTCTTCCCACTTCTGGTCAAGCTGCCTTTGCTTTTCTTGCAACTTAAAAACCTCTGGCTCTGCTTCTATATTGGGTTTGTGTAGCAGCATTTTATAGTGGAAGGGGGCTAGAAGGGTGGCTTTTCTGAGAAGCCACTCCCTTCCTGCCTTTTCTCCTAAAGACACATCACTTTGCTGCTAGTGACATCAGAAGACACCAAATGTGTTAGGATTGCATGTTCTGTGGTTTACAGATGCAGCTGGCCACCCCCCTGCAGCGTACTGTGTGAGGCCTTTGCTTTGCACATGCTGCCACAGCCAGAGGCTGAAGACAGCTGCTTGTTGTTCACCCTGTGACAGGTGCCGGAAGCTGCCTAAGGCACACTCCATTGCTGCACCAGCCCCGAGTGTGGAAGAGCTGCCACCAGGCAGGATAGGTGGGACATGCTGATTTTTGACAGCTGTGGTAAAACAGAGCTCCATGAGATGTAAGACCTTGCCATAAACAGCTGTGTGCCAGGAGTAGAGTTCTGGTCTTGGTGCATCCTCAACTGCAGAGATCTGGGGACAAGCTGATCTATGTTGCCTTAAGTGGGTCAATTTCTGCCAACTTGCATGGAAAGAGCAGGGAGTTCTGCCAGCATTGCCAACTCAGGTGAACACTGTGGGAATGTGTGAGTCTTGCTGACCTCATGCAGAGATGCTCTGGGCACGCTTTGCATGGTGCAGCTGCGGATGTTGGGTTTGAGCCTGAGCAGAACTGTAGGTTTCTGTTCCAGATGGTCAGGGTGAGTTCACAAGCACAGTCATTCCTGTTTCTTTTTACCAGCATGTGTTGGGTGATTTCCTAAGAGAAGATACAAGCCTCTGTGCAATCTCCTCCATGTGAGCAAGATGTACATAGCCACAGCTCTGTGAAGGTAAGCTCTTTTCCTCTGGCTAGAGCCAAAGTGATGTCCTCTTACTACAGCATTCATGCAGTATGGGTTCAGACATCATGGATATTGGGGAAAACAAGAGGCTGACCTCAATGTTGATGACTACAGATAACTGGCAAAGGCAGAAGGGAGGCAGGAGGGCAGGATGCTGGGGTCTCTGCAGGTGACATTCAGTATTCACCAGACTGAAAGCAATGCACTCCTCCCTCCCCTGCAGCATTCTGTGTCAGCTCAGAGCCACCACCTGTGGAGCTTTGGTGTTTTTTAACCTGCTGCTTTGCTGACTAACACCTCCGCTTTCTGCTTGGCTCATTCATATTTTAGCTTGCTTCCTGGGCTTTGAGGTGGTTTCTTCTATTGCTTTCCCTTCCAGCAGAACACTGTTACTCATGTCTCAGCTGTTCTGCCATTTTTCACTTATTGTAATGTATGATTATCTTCCTCCTAAATGTCACCAGCCAGCAATGGTGCCTTTGACCCTAAAGTTATGCCAGGTCTGTCTCTCTGACGCTGCTGGGGATGTTGGTTTAATTCTGTTATGACAGGAAGAAAGTACAGAGGTAGTACTGTTTCTCTAGAGTTTTTTCTTTTTTTTGTCAAATCATGAACTTAATAACTCTAAGCATGACTGGTTTTATATCCTAGAGAAAGGAATTACCACCTCTGAATGTTGTTTTTCAATTATTTATCTTGCTGATAAATACATAATTATGTTGCCCTTCTTCCAGTGATGGAAAAATGGTTTTGTGTCATGAATAACAGAATCTACCAAGCCTTCCTTGTGTGCCCTTCACACTTGCTTCTTGGTGAATATTATTGCTGCAGGCTAGGCTGAAATTATACTTTTTATGAGTTAAATTTGAGGAAAACAGGCCTTTTTGTGCAATATGTTTAAATTTATAAAGCCATTGGTCTTACAGTGCTACCAGTTTTCCTGTTTTTAAAATTAGCTCTGTAATATTAAATGTATATTATTGCAGAGTTTAAAAGTAGCATGGCTTGTGACTGCCAGACTATCACTCTTTGGACTGATCAGACATGCTGCTCTTTCCCTCACTCCTCTGCATAGATAATAATATTGGCACACCCTGGAGGATCCTGTGTAATCAGGGGCCAAAAGCTACACCACTGTCCTGGTGTGCTATCCTCACAACAGAAAGACATTACTAAGAGCATGGGAAATTTCTGACTTAGCCACTCAGCCTCATAAACCTTGTACTGTTCCACACTGCACCCAAGATAGGTGACAATCTCCACAACCCACAGGCACCATCAGCTGAGACAAGTCTTTTCTAGAAGCCTGGGCCTGACATTGTGCCTGTAAGTGATCCACAAAGCCTGCAGAAGGGAGAGCTGGTCTTTCACAGAAGCTGCTCCAAACACAATGAGGAGTAGCTTCTGGATTAACTCATGTGACCTTCTCCATGCATGTTCTAACAGTTACCAGCAACTACCTGGCAAGCATGGTCAAGACCCACCTGCCCTGGCCTGAACATTCCAAAACATCTGTTTTTCACAGGGTGAGGCAGAGGTCTGGAGGCTTAACATGGAGCTCCCTCATCCTGCACCCTGCTGCTTTGTGCTAACTAAACTGCTGCAATCGTCTTGGGTTATTACAGCTCCTTGTTCTTCCTCCTAGCTCCTCCTACCTCCACACTGTGTTGTATGTGCCAAATGCCTCCACAGTGCTGCTCATTTCCCTCTTGTCCATGGATACAGTTAGTGTGCCTGGGTTCCTTGAAGCCCCTTTAAAGGTATAATTAGGTGAGTTGATGGACCCTCCCTCAGTGTGAGCCTTGCAATCTAAAGAGACCTGGCCCAGACACAAGTCCCCGGCATGAGATGCGACCGGGGTGAGCCCCTCACCTGTGTAGGAGCCATCTGACCTCCCTGCCTGTGGTCTAAGGACTGGTGCTATTGGCTTGATCCGGGAACCATTTTGAGAATGGATGGAAGCTGAATGCAGTGGTATTGCAGACTGTCTCCAGTGTGGCTCATGCTGTACTATGCAGTTTGGCTTAGCCCTTTAATACCTTGACACTGATGCCTCCTCACTGCACAAATCTAAGCCCCACTATGACCTTTTAGATAGGAGGCTTGTGAGTTTTTATCAGCTCTCCCACCCTTTTCTCATGTAAGAAAGCAGAGCAGTACAGTAATAAATGTTGTGTGGGTGTTTGGACCTGAATTCATCACCTCTCACCACATCCTTCTGTTGGCACAGTAATACTGATACACTCGTGACGTCAATCTCCATTTATCGCTGTGTATTCCAATACACCACGGCCCTTGCTTGTGCACAAGTAGGCTTTGCTCTTACTCGGTGCTGAGGAGACCCGCCTGCTCCTCAGCTCCCCAGGCGGGGTCTGCAATTGCAGTAATGATTTAGCCAGGCTGGTCATGGAACTGTTGGAGGGCTGAAATGCACAGAACAGGGCAGGTAATATCCATGTTTCCACCAATTTTCCCTGCTGCCAGTTTGTTCCTGCTTGATGTTGCAACTTCACTGTAAATCTTTCTTATAGCTGATGTGGCCCTTGTGCCCCAGCTGTCATTGCTCTTAGCCTCGGGAAAATCAGAGCACCCCTTCGTCTCCCTGTTGCTTCAGCTTTCTGATTAGATGGCAGTGTGCCTTGATAATGATTTTTTTTTCAAGAAGGAAGCTTATTTGAGCATATAACTGGTGGACTGTGTCTTCCACTCTTTTTTTGCTTGGGTGCAAAAAATTCATTTTCTCATGCTTGGAAATATTTTTTCCCTTTTTTTTTTACTTAAACTGAGTTCTTAATTAGTTTTGATATGGGGTGTGGGGTTTTTTTTTGTTTTTTTGGGGATGTTTTTTCTAGTGGGGTTCTGTTTGTTTCTTTTGTTTTTGGTTTTTTTTTTTTCCTTTCTTGTGTGTGTGTGTGGTTGTTGTTTTGGGGGTTTGAGGGGTTTTTTTTGTTTTGTTTTTTAAGTACATACATTTCCTGAAAACAGTTCAAACTGTGAGCTTAGATTGCATCAATGTTTGGCAGCTTATAGTATCGTCATATTTCCAGATCCTTAACAAAAATAATCTTCATAAACGTCTGTCGGTATTGGTCCTATTTCCTATTCTCTGGTTTATTAAAAACTGGTAGCATCATTTACGTGTGTATATTATGCAGGGCTACTCAGCTTTATTGCTGTGGTCTCATAAGGATATTCCAGAGTTTGCAGATGTGGTATTTGGCAGCTGTACAATGCTTAACATTTTATAACAAATGTCTGTGTTGCAAGGATGCTGATTCTGAGTCCCCATTTCACAGACCAAGAAAATGAAATGAAGCAGTAGAAAGGAGTTTTCTAATGCCAGACTTGGAATAAGTTCCTGCCTCTGCTTATTGCCCACTGTCATTCTTTTCTCCAGGTGAACAATCACATGCTGACAGACAGAAGCAAATGGGAAGGGTGTAACAAATGGAGGGATGTAGGAAAGGTAGGGGTCCCAATAATAGACTGGGATTGAAGCTTGCAGGGGGCCTAACTGGAGCATGCTTCAGAATTAGGGCTGCTATACATCTCCACCGAAGTCATGAGGTCTTTGGCATCAAAGACCACAAGGACGCTGCTGCAGAGCTGCAGTTTCCCCAGCTCTTCTGCACTGTCTTGTCTGTCCATGTCTTATCATAACAATCTGGAGCACAGCCAGGAGTCAGACAGTTTCAGCAATACTGAAACTGTCTATGGTGCTCTTGGAGGTCACAGTCTTTTCCTACCACACTGAGGTAGGGAAAAAGAAGGAGATAAATGTTGGACTAATCTGTGGGCGCTGGCGAGGGTAAGAGATGGGACAGTGGCATCCCAGCTTAGGAAGTATTGTCTCTCTGTTTCAGCTATTTTAGCAGATCCTACCGGTTTTCTTATTTTTGCTACTGTGCTCTTCCTCATGAGTCTTCCTTCTAGATTACAAGGCTGTATGCTAACCTCTCCCCATTGTGTAATGGCAGTCTCTGGTAACTCTGTAAGACATCTACCCAATTAGCTACTTGGGCTCCTTGCTTTGACTTTTTCCAGTTCATTCCTACCTGTCCTTTCAGGTCAACGGTACCATTTTCTGAGCAGAGAAAGAAAAGTAGGGGAGGCCCTTGAAAGAAACCACAGTCCAATAGGTAAAAGCAGCAAAGACTTTCCTTGCATTGGTCTGTTCATTTAGGCAGGAATAAACATAAAAGCAGGGAGCTACTGCAATATCATTAATACAAAGCATCAGAGGCTCTGCCTGTTGGATTTTGAAATAAATGGTGGGTCTGCAGGCCTCTCTGAGGGCCCAGCAGGCCTTCCTGAGGGCTTTTCCTTTTCCTTTTCCTTTTCCTTTTCCTTTTCCTTTTCCTTTTCCTTTTCCTTTTCCTTTTCCTTTTCCTTTTCCTTTTCTTTTCCTTTTCCTTTTCCTTTTCCTTTTCCTTTTCCTTTTCCTTTTCCTTTTCCTTTTCCTTTTCCTTGTTGTCTTTGTTTTCCATGGTGGCCAAGAGGGTGGAGCATGGCAGTCACAATATTAAGTAATGCTGAGATGGGCTCATGGTGCAGCCAGTCTCAGTATGAAGTCAACTGAGCAGGTTCCACATGGCAGGATAACAGCAAGCCATCCTCAAAGGAATGAGGATTTGGAAAAGAGCCATGGAAGATGGGTGAGATCATAAGGTGGAGTTAGAGAGTGGGCTGTATCTCGGTGACTAGGGACTACACCACCAGAAGTAGTGGTAATGACTAATAAGTTATTATACAGAGAAAACTTGGAGATCTGCTTGGACCAGAGGGGTCAAGAAAAGATGTTTACTCAAGGCAATGTGTGATGCAGAAAGAAGATAGAGAGTTTGCCCTGCCACTGGCAACAAGTGAGGGAGGATGGCAGAGTGCCTGGGGCTCCTTGCTGAGCTGGAACAGTGCTTCATGGGCAGGGTTTGTTTGGCAGGAAAGAAGGGGCAGCAGCTGCATCATTGTTCCCACAGCAGGGTGTGACACAGTGTGTTTGTGGCACCTCCAGAGCAAGTCTTGCTAGTCTCACCTGGGCACTGATGCCCTGAGAACATGTCTGTGAGCTCACATGAGGCTGCAGGGGCTTTCTGGTGGCTGCTAAATTTGTTTTGCTTTCATTATTTGAGTAAACCTGGGAAATTTTTAGACACCGCAAATGTTCCTGAAGTCTTAAAGGCTTCATGGGTTTCTCTCTGCTGGATGATTGCCTAGGTATTAGTTGCTTGTGATGGATACTGCATAGACACCCCAGGACCTGGATACCTGAAACCCCCCCATATTAATACAGGCTGAGAGACAAAGAGATTGTCAGCTCTGCTGACAAGGACCTGGGGGAAGTGGTGGATAAAAAGCTGGCCATAAGCAGGTAATTTGTGCTGGTAGCCCAGAAACTCCTGTATCCTGGGGTTCTTCCCCAGCAGTAGAGCTGGTAGAGGGAGAGGATTCTTCCCCTCTACTCTTCTCTCTTGAGACCCTAACTGGTGTTCTGCCTCCAGGTCTGGACCCCCAGTGTGACAAGCATGTGGAGCTGCTGTATTGAGTCCAGAGGAGGAAGCACCTCTGCTATGTATGACAGACCGAGAGAGTTGGGCTTGCTCAGCCTGGAGAAGAGCAGGCTTTGAGGAGACCTTACTGCAACCTCTCATTATTTAAAGGGAGCCAGTAAGAAAGATAAGGACAGACTTTTTAGCAGAGTCTGTTGCAACAGGACAAGGGGTGATGATTTTTTAAATTAAAAGGGTAGATCAGACTATGTGGCATGACACATGCGCCCTTCCTGCTGTCTGTGCATCCTTGCAACTTGCTTTCAGTTAAACTATGTCGCCAAAATAATATACATTGCTTCTCCAAAGTCTTGTCCCATTTAAGAATAGCTTGAGAAAACAGTGCTGAAGTCTGTACTCGGTATCAACAGCCAATACTCTGCAGAGAGTACATTTTAAGTCTTTCTGTGCGCATCCATGTGTTTCCATAAATATTTAAATGCTGTGAAAACACAGCCTTAAATACATTATATGACTTGAGGGCTTTGTCTTGGAGCAGGAGCTGTGGGTTGAACAGTCATCTGTGATGCCATTTCCTCTTTTTTAAACATCCTGCTGTCATCTTCTCTGAGGACTTTCTTGTAGGTTCTCTTCACTATACCATCAGGGCAGCCTTTCCCTGCAGTCAGTACTGTACATTGTTCTCTTGGATGCAACATGGGAGGCTGAGGGTTTTTTTCTTTTTTAATTCTCGTCTGTCTTTCTGGAGTCCCTTAACTAGATATTTCATGCTTATTTAACTAAAGGTAGGCCAAATCAATGAGTTCTCACCAGCTTTCCTCACACAGGCCCACAATCATATTCAGACTCCATTTGGCTAATTCACTGCATAGCTGTTTAATCTGCAGCAATGTCACTTCTAGTGGCAAGCCATTCCTAGTTGCAAGATACTAATGAAGAAAAAATTGGTTTGCAACTAACCTGAGTCTTTCTTGTTGCCTGAATAACCCAAGCTGCAGTCACTTTGCTGCTTTGTCTGTGCATGTGCTAGCAAGTAGCAAAGATTTCACTGACCATCCTTATGGCAAGTCGGCATGCTGTTGGTCATACCCCCCCTTAACCCATGGAATAGATAAACACAGGAGAGCTGAAAATAATTGTCTAAATAAGGCACACTATTTTTAGACGTTTAAAGTCTGAGCAGAGTTCTAAATTGGTTGTGGGAGTCTTGTTTGTTGTTGCTTTGTTTTGTTTTGTTTTTTTCTTCCCTAGGACATCCAGTAAGAACTACCATGAAGAACAAGCCGTGGCTCCAGAATATTTTCTTCTGCCTTTTATTCCAGTACAGTAAGTCCTCAAATATTTCTTTCAGGTTGTACAACCACAGGATTTATCTTAGTGACCATATATGCCAGCTCTGATGAGATGTACATGGCACAAAGTTGCCATGGGACAGCAAGTACAAGATAAGGTCCCCAGGGAGAGAGTTCCATGCGGTAATGAGTGGAGGACAGGGACGGGAAGGTGCACAGCTGGGCAGAGTTCAGCCAGGCTGTGCACAGCTCTGGGGACCAGCACCAGTGGAGAGCCTGCAGAGGCAGTGCCTGCCTTGCACTGAAATGTCTCCTAGTGACATTAAAGTAGGATTTCCCCCACCACAAATACCCTTTGCTGTAGAAAAGGTTCCGGTGGCCAAGACCAGGATGCCCCCAGGGTTGCTGCTGGCTAGTCAGCCAGGGTCAGTGTAGTGAACCTCTCCTAGTCTGAGTCCGTTTGCTTAGGACTGCACTTGTGCATACAGTCATCCCCCCTCTTTTTCTGGCTCCTACCCACACTGCAAACTCCAGCTGACTCAGAGCTGACTTTCTGAACAGATCAGCAGGACAGAAAAAGGCAGTGACAACCAAGTCTGCAGGGAACCATGCAAGTTTAGTATCTTACCTGCTGCTTGTAGGCAGAGAATTGGACCTGTCCCAGACCTAAATAAGGAAAAAAGATGCATTCAGAATTATATCTTCATGTCATAGGGGACCACTGTGATGTCTGATCTCAATTTTGCATGATGCAAGCCAGGGAATTACCATGTACTAATTTCAGTTTGGATCAATCTAGATCTTACTGTTAGAAATATTCGAGGTTTGTTTCTGAAGCTGCCAAGGAGAGACATTTCATCCTAGATCTAACTAATTGGTTTTAGGACACTTAATTATTCCTTTCCCAGTAAAAAGCTGTCCTCTTAATTTTGTTAACAGTTTCTTGCCCAAAGATACCCTTGCAACTTACCAGCTACCTAGGAATAGTAGTCTGTCTACCTAGGAATAGTAATCTGTTTGAATAATTAACATAATAGCATAGAAGAACACTAATTACTGATGCTTAATAGCCTATTAATACTTGCTGCCCTTTCTAAAGGAATGCAAGAGATTCCTATCCCTGTTTTTTCGAGGAGAATAAAGTTAGGCTAAAAGACAAAAAGTATGTTGCTCAGGATTCTGAACTAAACAGTGCTTGGTCCACGACCCTCAGAAGTGTCTATTGAGGGGTCAAAATAAAATGTGAGAACTTAATGAAAATTTTAGAAAAAATTCTGAAGTCGGTGTGAAATTAAAAAGTCAAATTAAAGGTTTAAAAAAATCATACGAACATCCTTGGGACCAATCTGTTGCAAACATCCCCAAATTTCTTCTGCCACTCTCCTACACCTTTGGGTTAAGAAGGATTTTGTACGCAAATCTGAGTGCTGCCCAGAGCTTGTGTAGGGAGAGCAGTGTGTACTCTGATATGTGAGGAGTAGGAAGTAAATGTTGTGATGGATGGCTTCAGCAGTGAAAAGTTGGACTTTGTTTTCCTCTGGACTTACCCCACCCTAGAGGAAGGCTGCACCCTCTGCTGGACACGTCTGCTGTCTGTTGTGACTATAAACGCAGACAACTTGTTTATGTGGACAGCCATTTCATCTGGAGGCTGGAACAGATGTTTCTGGTCCATCATTGCACACAGTGTCTGCATTCCATGGTGGTTCTCTGCATACAGCTTCAGCTGTAAGATTGAGCATTGGAGTTGTTGAGCACATCACATTAGCAAACAACACTCTGGACATAAACATGTTGCAACAGGGAAGGAGGAAGCAGGGAGTGCAGCTTCTCTAACCAAGAAAGCAGCAGAACAACAAAGGGAAGTGAGCTTGCAGCATGGTTAGCATCAAAGGGTTTGGTTGCCTGATGGCTGCAAAGTAGTGTGTTCTCAGGAGCCTTTACGGTAGGGGAGGACACATGCTTGATTTAAGCATGGATGTAACAATCTTGAGTCTTTTCATAGATGATGGCTATTTTATTCCCACCGAAAATGGGTAATACTTTATGTGTCAGAAATGAATGGTGTGAACCAGCATGGCATGCTGCAGCTCCTTCAGGCCTTTCCTCATTCCACCATTCCCAGTGCAATGGTGATGGTTCTTGTCAGCCCAGGAAGCTGTCAGGAGGGGACTCATCAATGCAGACATTTCTCACTGTGCTACTATCATTTCTGCCTTGAAATCCAGGGAGAAAAGTGTATTATGTACAGGACAATTGTACTTTTATAAAACACATAGTGGATACTGCTCTGTGAGCAGAGCTCCCACAGAACAAGTACAAAGAGTATAAACGCTGCTTTGTGACCCCTTCCAAAAAATTACTTGATTTTCCTAATGACCAGTATAAGTTCTACAATTGCGTTTCAAATTCTTTTCAGAAGTCTGTAATTAATAAATTGTGCTTATCAGAATGTTTTATAGAAATTACAGTAACTATAAATTTGCAGTATTTTTTATTCCCAAATTTAATGAAAAACATACTTCAAGACTCTGGAGCTGGACATAAAAAGTATTGATACTGAAGATATCAAGCTTTAGAAAACAGAAAAGAGAATGGCAAAGAAAAAATTACTAAAATAGCACTTGAAAAAAATGTGTAAAGTGCTATGTAGATGTACAAAGAAAACTAGACTAGCAATGAACAGTACTCAATTTAGAAAGTGGTATTATTAAAATGTTTGAATATGCTACTGTTTCTTACTGGGTTTCAGTCCTCTTCTATGTGCCATATAAGCTAAGGTTCTTGCAGAAATGTGACTCTGCTGTAGTGATTCTATGAGAGTCACAATTTGGGCATTTCCTGATTTTGGTTACCACAATGTTTTTAATAGGTTTTTGTTTGACACTTATCTTGCTATCAATGACTTGTCACCCTGTAGAGTTGGAACATATCTTGTGCTCCAAAACTGGAGACTTTCAGTGGGAGGGAGGATGGTTGTCAGAGACTGGTCTGTTCCCTTCAGATTTAGTGGGAACCCTGAGGAGTGCATATGTTGATTTATCAACATATTGATATTGTGTTTTCTCTTTCCAAACCTACAGTTATATGTTGTGAAAACCTCACTTGTTTTGTGGACTATGTAGAGACCCTGTCCTGTATCCTGCGAGATGAGCTGGGTGCTGGTTCATACAATCTCACTGCTACATGGTATGTCTTGGTGGGATGAGCAAAGTCCAGTAAGCAGGAGCCTCCACATGGCCATAGCACACTGATGACCTTCTGTCCCCTTTGTTAGGTAGAACTCCTGTTTTTGCTGCCATGCTGTTTTTTCACTTGGTATTTTTCACTCCAGTTACAAACTGACTTCTTCCCTTGCAAAGGACCCCTGGTTCCTGTCTCCACTGACTGTGCTTCTTGCTGCTGACTGCTATGCTGACTCCAGCTTCCTTAGCATTGCCTTCTTTGCTACCTTGTGAATACCTTGCCCTTTGCTGCTGTTAAAAGTGAAATTTCACCCCTGTGCATTGGCAGGGCTCATGTAGATTGTCCAGTCTACTGCTGTTATGCCCTAGCATGGAAGTGGATGCAGTCTTGGGCTGTGTAGCCCCAAGGAGCACCTTTCCTTTCCAGAAACACTTTCCTATTTCTGTCAAAGATGCTAAACTGAGCAAGTAGAAGGGGAAAAAATGTTGAAGTTCAAAAATAATTTTTATTTGAACATGTTGATTTTTCATTTTCATAATTTCCTTTGCCTGGTGGTTCATCAAAAAATTAATCCAACTACAGCATGTGATATATGCAGACTTCTTTGGTTTGGCTTTTTTAGGGTTCCTGAGGAAGATCCAGAAAATACTGTGGCTGCCTGCAGTCTCCTGCAATTGTCAAGAAACACCAGTCACACGCAGTACATGTGCACTGTGGACATGACTGAACTCCTGGCAGATACCAAAGTACAGGTGGATGTTACAGAGATAGCTGATAGGCAGCATGTGCTTTCCAAAGACTTTTATTTGTCAGACAACAGTAAGTATAAAAATGGTGAATTCCATAAATACTGTTTGACTTTTTGTGCTAGGATAGTCTAGACAAGGAGTGAGATTGGCAGCAAGCAGTGTTGGGGCTATGTTTGCGGTACACTCATCTACATAAAGCACCATGCTCTTATTATTGCTATTATGCTTGAGGCTGAGCTTCGAGCTGGCTTTGTCCAGGCTTTTTGTGCAGAAATTCCTTTTCCCCATGAAGCAGTAGGTGATAAACATCCACCTTAGACCAGTCTCATACCTAGGCTATGCAAGAGCTTGTTCTTGGCTGGATTCTAAAGGGCAGCAGGAATTACTTTATAACAAATGTCACAAATCACAGAATCCTTAAAATGGTTTTGGTTGGAAGAGACCTTAAAGGTCATTCAGCTCAACTCCCTGCCATGGGCAGGGACACCTTCCACTAGACCAGGTTGCTCCAAGCCCCATCCAGCCTGATCTTGGACACTTCCAGGGATGGAGCAGCCACAGTTTCTCTGAGCAACCTGTGCTAGTTCCTCACCACCCTCACAGACAAGAATTTCTCCCAGATATCCCATCTAACCCTGTCCTCTGTCAGTATAAAGCCATTACCCCTTGTCCTATCACTACATGCCCCTGTCAAAAGTCTTTCTCATGCTGTCTTGTAATATTCAAGGAGCTGGAGGCTCCCAAAAGGCTTTTGCAGTGGACATGTGAACCAACATGACATTATTTTGGGTGGCACAAGGTGTCCCAGATGTACTGGATGTGGCAGTTCCCCTTCCTGGGGAAATTCCTAATCCTCTCTCCTGCATGACACCAAGACTGAATGCAATCATGTAGCTGACTTGGTGGAATGTTGGTTCTGGGCTGTGTATCAAACTTTGAAGAAAAGGAGTGATTAGCCAGGCAGATGGGTACCACACAGACACAGGAAAAGGATTTTCCTATTTGGCTTCTTCTGAAACTTTACTTGAGAAGTGTCATCTTTTTGACAAATGCCTTAACATTTCAGGAAGCCTCCTTGCTCCCATTTACAGAATAGAGATTGAGTAGTGGTGCTTTGCATATCTCCTAGAGGCCCTCATCCAAAGGCATCATAGCTCTTTTATGTCATGAGAAGGACAAGGTGCTTTACATTTTACATAATCTCCCAGGAGTTTATTAGCTCTGTGTACTATCTTTCCTTCTCTATAGGCAGAGGAGGCTCAGAGACAAGCAGAAGATATATTCAGAGAAATGTTGTCCTGACTTCATTATACTCCTCACATGTGAGGTTCTGTGCAGGGCTGAGGACAGGAGTGCTGTGGATGTTCTCTAGAGTAGGAAAGCCCACCACTGCCAGGGCAGCTTTTTTACCTACTCACTCTGCATTGCTGATACCATGTTGGGCCATCTCTTAACTGTAGTAATCTCATGAAAGGTAACACCATCCTGTCTTTCAGTAAAACCACAGCCTCCATTCAACCTGACCGCTTTGTTCTCAGAGGGTTACAATATATCTTGGGAAACCATCTACCACAACTCTTCTTTCTACTTTTTGAATGAGGAGCTGGAATATCAGCTGCGTTACAAAAGAAGAACAGACACCTGGGAGGTAAGTGAGATGTCAGTTTACCATCAAGTAGGATGTACCAGAAAAGAGGGGGCCAGCACAATTAGGACAGTAGCACTGGTGGGAAAGAAAGGTTTTAATGGTTTAGAAAAAATGTCTCTCTGCTTGACTGGACTGAAAACAGGCGAAACAAAAAATTGAGAAGCAGAAGCTGTATGAGAATATTAGATCCTGTGAGGAAGACTGATAGTTCATTTGATTCTCATGCTGTGCTGCCTGCAAGGCTCCCCCAGGATTGCACACAGCTGCTGACCAGTCAGAGCATGGCCTTGCAGAAACAACATGGAAGCAGAAGAGGTTGCTTTGCAGGCATCCTCACTGTGCAGCAGTGCAAGCAAAGTAGGAGCAGTCACTCTAGTGTTTGGTATTTAATCATTCACAGACTCAGAAGATTAAAGCTGTTCATGAAGATAAACGGACACTGGTAATCCTGCCGTGGGAACTACAGGCGAACACTGAGTACGAGTTCCAAGTGAGAGCTCGACCCCGGGAAGACAGTGGCTATGGTGGTTTTTGGAGTGAATGGAGTTCTCCGCTGTCATTGAAAACCAGCCCTGCCGGTACATGCTTGCCCTTTCAATTAGTCCAGTGTTAGAGAATGCTTCCAGAAATTTAATAAAATCTAATTAATTAGAACAAATTTTAAACAGTCCAGTGAAGACAGGTATGGTTAGCTTCCTTACTGGTTATGTGAACCCCAAACCTGGGCTGTCACTGTTGATGTTCTCACTGTGAGGCAAAAGAAGAGTGTTTGGTGGGGTTGGCTGTACATTTGGAAACCACTTGCAGGAGTGCAGCCTCCACCTTCCTTTTCAGTGTCAAATGTCCAGGGTCCCATTTTCAGCTTTCAGAAATGGGGGAGATCTCTGCTGGGTCTTAGTGTTGTCATCAGCTGAGGGGAGGGGGATCCTGCTCTCAAACCTGAGTTCTGGGTCTGGACTGTGATGTTGGGTCATGCTGGGCCTGGATGTTTTGTTTGGTAGCCACCACTCTGCAGTACATTGCAGGGAGTTCACAGTAAACGGAGCTACATGGATGCTTGTCATGGTAGGACAGAGGCTATGAAAATAAGGAGCCTTTGCTCCAATAGAGCAGGTGCAAAATTACTGTGGTCAGTGCCAGCAGTGTGTGCTGAGCTTCCCTGCTCTCACTGATCTGCAGCTCAAACTGAAGTATTACAGGGTTTACCTGATGCAGTGGCAGCATAGCCAGGCTCCATTTGCTAAGGGATATCCAAGTTCTGGATCTCAAAGGTGTTCCTTTTCTTCACAGGTGGAGAGCAGCTACCAAGCCATCATCTAGTCAACACCTGTCTCTAATCAGCTGCACTCTTTCACTTCACAGATCATCTGTGGAGGTGTCCTTAACTAGGAGTCAGAACACCAGGGGCCTTTGCAGGAAGGAGCTGTCCTGCCCTAACTATGTTGGCTGTCTATCTGTGGTGCAGCCAGGTCATAGGGCTGACATACTGCTGCTTTCATTGATGCTGTCATCTCTGAACACCCTCAATCAGACCTGTCTGGAGTACTGATGCCTAGGTGACAGCCTCAATATCCCAGTGAGAGACTCTGGGATAGAAATTAATCATTTAGGTTGGAAAAGACCTCCAAGATCATCAGGTCCAACCTTTGACTGATGGTCACTTAATCAACTAGACCATAGTACTAAGAGCGATGTCCAGTCTCTTGACCTCCAAGGATAGTGACTCCACCATCTCCTTGGGCAGTCCATTCCAATGCTTGACAACATTTTCTATTCCAAATGCTTTTTCCCCTAACCCTCTCCTGTCTGTTGATCAGGGTATAAATGCAAGGTGAGCCTGAATGACTCGTCTCTTTCTCCAGCAGTGACACAGACAGGAGGCATGGAATGGCTGTTGCTGTTTGGTATTGTCGTGGCAATCATGGCCTCAATCGCAACATTTCTGGCCAAACAGCAGAGGTAAGAATGCTTCAGGAGGCAGGAGTTAATGCTTTTATTCTATCTTGTTAAAGATGTGGCGTTCATATGCAGCCTTCCTTGAGTCTTGTATATCTATGGGTGGGCAGCTATGACCCTGTAAGGGACAGCCAAGAATGGTCACTGGCTGATGTACTGCCCCAAGTGACCTGCTTTTCTCTGGGACTCTGCTGCCATTCAGCTGGCTGGGCCAAGATGGTCGCACATGGGGATGAAGCAAGGACCACGCAGCCTTCCGAGCTGCTCTCCTGGTCTTGTCTGTGCTCTGCAGTTGCCAGATAGAGCAGTAGCCAGAGCTAGCTGCCCCTTTCCAAAACTGACAGAGGTCCCTCAATGCTGGCTGATGGCCTCTGTCCCTCTCAGAGGTTTCTTATGCCCTTGAAGAGATATGAGGTGCTGACATGGAGGAGGGTTGGGCTGGTGCAGCAATAGGGCTGGCACAGCCTAGGTTCACAGAGGAACTGTATAGGGAAAAGGTCTGGCCTGCAGACCACAAACCAGCTCAGCCTCAGTGAAAATGCATTTCTAGCATTTGGTGCTTTTCCAGGAAGGAAAAAACTGGAACCTCTTACCTTAGCATGAATGTGTGTGTGCAAGTGCTGAGGTCTCACCTCTAGTGAGGTTCACAAGGGAGGCTATTAGATGGCTCTGGCAGCACAAGACATCCTTGGAACCTCAGCTGCTTGCTAACTCACAAGGCTGGGCAAGTGATTCCAGTTGCTTGAAATGCACCTGGAGATGCCTTGCTTTGCATTTGTAATGTGTGTTTAACCCCAAAGCCTTTTTCTTTTCTCTTCCAGCTTGTGGAATAAGATGGCTTGCATCCCAGACCCTGCTCCCTTTTTCAAACCTCTTTACATGGCTCATAATGGAGATTTTAAGGTAATAATGAGCTGCACAAGTGAGTGGAGTACGTGACAAACTAAAAGGCCATCATGCTATCCTGAGCAAGGGATTCTCATTAGGGCAGTAGAAGGAGAAATCTACCTCAAAGGAATGCCAAATGTCTCCAGATATAAGAACTAGAGGTTTCCAGTATCTGTTCAGTGCCATAAAAACCTTTATGTTACACTTATACTCCTTATTCCCTGTAAGTGTTGTCTCAATCTGTGAGCTGAGTTCATGCGATTTCTAAAGCCTGGGATACTGACAGGAGTGTCAGAGAAAACTGCAAAGCCATGCAAAACTCTCAGAGCTAATTATTTTCAATTACTTCAGTTAGTTCTCCTGCAGTTGCCCATGTCTCATAGTAACAGCATCTTCCTGTTATATTGGAGGAGTCAGTGATTTTAAAGTTTAATTTTTCCCTCCAAAAGTGTAGGAAATTTGGTTATTTCTGTGGAACCTCAAACCTTGTGATGGTAACCTCTCTCTCCCTGTGTTTCTTTTTCTGCAGAAGTGGGTTGGTGCATCCCATATGAAAATGACCTTTGATTTCTTTGAATGGGGAATAGTCCTTCCAGAAGTCCTAGAAGTTTACACTATGCATCCTTCCAACAGCACCCCACAGGAAGAGCTGCATGAGCTAAGAAAGAATCTGCCTTGCAAGCCCTGTGTGTCTTGCCTGACTACCCCAGGTCATGAAAGCCAGTTGCTGTGGTGTAGTGTAAACAGTAGTGGTGGGACTGAGGACCAGTCATATGGGCACTTGTCAATTGATACAGTGACTGTGGCTGATGAATTTACATCTTGTAACTGCCAATGCAGCTGTAACCATGTGTACAGGGAACATGAGCATACCAACAAGGAAGATGATAGTGCTGGAGAGCTTGGTTACCCCAAGGTTAACCTTGATGAGGAAGACAGAAGGCTATCCAGTGACTTGCATTTGGCTGATCTAAGTACACAGGACAAAATACTTGCTTCAGGCTCTGTGTCCACAGACCACCTGAGTAGCACAAGTGTCCCAGTCAACCAGCAAGGAGAAAGGGGAGTGGAAGGAGAGGTGGGGAGCATCCTAGAAGCCTTTTGTTTGCAGCCTTATCAGTGGGATTTGGAAAATCCAGATTCTCTACCTTCTCCTGATGGTGAAAGTGTTTCCTACAGTGAAGGCTCCTATGACTTCTTCCCTCACAATACAAAACCTGGTGACTGTTATCCTTTGATCTGTGTAGATTTGGACACTATTGACAGTGGCTTTGTGGACTCAGACTGTGGAAGTCCAGTTGACTCTGAATTTGGGCAAAACAGTCAGACCATTTGTGCGCCCATCCCTCTTGAGCAGGAGGGGCAAGACTTTACACGTAGCTACGTCAAGCAGTGGGTCTCCTGTCGCTCTGAGAGCCCTATCAGTGGGACACAGACAAACTAAGGACTGGATGAGTGTGGGGCCTTTTCCATAGTGTGCCAGGAGCAAACTGCTAGCAAAATTCAGAAGAGAAAAAAAGTTTACTTTGTGTAAGCTCTATTGCATAAACTGTCACCTGTTAGGATGACAGAAATATGCCTGTTTCTATTCCCACTTATCCTATTAATGTCTCAAATTTGTTGTGATTGATTGTTCCTGAGTTTTGTTGGGTTTTGGTTTTTTTTTAGAATCATATATCAACCCTCCCTTAATGTCAGAAAATTGTCAGAAAAAAACCCCTGTATCTTGAAAATTATCCTTTGCCTTATATAGATATGCAAAATTTTTTGCAGTAACCTTATAAAGAGTACAGAGCTTTAAGTTATTTTCCCTGGTATTCTCACATGACTTAAGGGTTTGGCTGCACATGGAACCTCAGAATCATAACCCATGGCAGGCGTGTTTGCTATGTTAAAGTTCCCCTACCTTTCCAAACAACATGTGATGTTACTTGTCCTTCTACTGTCTTTGGCTCTTTAAACTCGGCTGTAGTAGTCTGTCAGTTATGGAGGGCTCCAAACCTGTCCACGAGGATCAAAACTAATTCTTATGTAATCATTGCAGAAATGGGTGTACTAGAGACTAAGCACAACTCAGGTTTCACAAAGACTTTCCAGGTGGAGTCTGCAAATGAAAAGACTTCAAAATATATATAATTCTAAACAAACTCTCCGTACTAGGCTTTTCTATTGAGTCAGACTCTCTCCCTGCACTTTTCAAGCATTTTAATTGAGCAGCTTTTAGAATTTTGCCAAAATTATCGAAACATTGTCCTGCCTGGATATGCCTGCCACTTCTGCCTTGGACTTGCTCTGCTGCAGTTAACAGGTCAGTAGCACAAATTTTGAGCGATATCTGCTAGCTAATAAAGCCAAATATGAAACTGCATTGTAACTTTGAATCTGGTTTTCTCTCTGACATCTCCATATTGCTGATTTGTTCAGGATAATTGTCTTTAAAAGTCACTGAAAAGTAATACCAAAATTGAATGTGAAGACCTTGATCTTACATAGGCATAGTGCTACTAACCCATAGACTGCTTGGCTCCAGAAGGTCATATCTTGAGAGAACCTTTGTGGTGAATGATGCATGTTTCCAGTGTAGTAATAATCTGTTGTTGCTGTGATACCAATAAACTCCCTTCCCTCACCCCCTTCTCTTACCTGAGACAATAGGCAACCCCAAGGCTCCCTAAATGGGAGAGAGCACTATAGTAAATAGAAGCTGATTTTTTCATAGGTGAGTGTTGGGACAGTACTGCATTACATCCACATCCTCTGGTTTGATTGTTCAGATCCACCATGGTATTTGCTATGTTGATTTTGGACCTACATGACTTAGTTTTGTCCATTTTGTTTTATTACTCCCTCAATACATCCCTAGCTCAATGGCTTCCTGAGTACTGCTCTAAGGTATATTAGCTTCTTTGGTTTCTTCCCTCCTTATTTTCCATTTTTCTTGTCATGTGCTGTGATAAGTCATGGGAGGTGTTGTCTTCATGTGCTGAGGTATGCTGTCCCTTTCATGCCTTCCACAAGGCAGCAGAGAATCTCCCCAGCTCCACTGCCCTGAAGAGCTGGCTGCCCCACACTGTCCCACGAGGTCTGCTTGCATTGTGATTGTGTTGATGCGAATGTGTACTGGACAGAAGCATTTCTGATAGTGCCAGCACAGTCTGCTGCAGCTTCATCTCACAGTTCTTTTCACTTCAGAAACTACACCATGGTAACTGACCCCAGGCTGCTTAAGGGAGAAACCTGCTTGTTTTTCTGGGGCCCTTTACATCTCAGTCCTGTGTGCTCTGTTTCCGTTTGTACTGATGGCCCCAGAACTGCTGAAGGAACTGTTTCTGTTACTGGAAGACTATCTGGCTGTACATCTGATAGATGGTGGTGGTTTGGTGTTATGTTGGGCTGGAAGTTATCTCTGCTCACCCTAGGAGACAGACTTCATGAACAAGTGCGTGACACAAGGGTATTAAAATAAGAGAAGTTGTTCCCTTTGAAGCAAGGTATAACAATTAAGATTTTGGTCAGTGAGTTGTCACTGTGGATGTGGAGGGGTTTGAGGTGGCGGGGGGTTTCAGTGCCTCTTAGGAGCAAACTGAAAATGTCCCTGATCTAGCAGTTCTGATTTGGAATTTTTCTTTTCCCCAGGAGCAATAGGGTCAAAAAGCAGGTACTGGGAGAAGCACCACAATCCATTCTGATGTACCAATTTGGAAATGTCCATCTCCATTTCTGCATGGCCCTTGCCTCCCTGTCTCTTGGCCCCAGAAGCTGATACTGACAGACTGTTACTCAATCTTTTCTTTGACTGCTTCTCTCTTTCTGTTCTCTGGCACTAGAGATGTACTTGATGGATCCTGGCTGTAACACTGCCATTGCATCGTTGCTGCTGGGCATGGGAAGATCTGTTCTTTATACATTCTAGGATCAGTGCAAGGAAGCACTGCAATGGTTGTTTGCCTTTGCTTCCAGAGCTGCCCTTTGAATACAGTGCAGCAATCGGCAGTGGAAAAAGCACAGGACAGGGCAGCTTCGGGATGCTGCAGGGGTCTGGGCACAGTTGGGCACAGGTCTTGGGTGGAAACAGTTTAGCTCCACATCCACACAGGGTTAGGAAATGACTTTAGGCAAAAAGTTGCAATCAGATACTTTTCTATTCAGAAAATTATTTAGCCTTTTAAATGTTAAGTCTTTAGCCAAAATTCCTGTTTCTCCATGACTAATGAGAAATTACATATATAGCTACTTTAACTCAATCTGATAATCAGAGCAGTTTTTCATTGGTTCTTGAGATTATCTTTAAAATCAGGTACAGTAAGCTCTGTTTTATTATGCCACTGCTGCTACTGGCTGATCATTAAACCATACAGCTTAAACTATCAAGGGACAGAAGCAGGGTGAAAAGTGACATTTCTTTTGAGCTGGTAAGACAGTTTACCATATTTCTGTTCTATGCATTCCAGTATGTAATGTTAGGGGACCTCTACTGAGCAAAATATTGAAAATATTTTCTTTATCTAAATGTGGAATTCCATATTGTTTCTTGAATTAGGAACCTGAAGATCAGAAGTGTTTTTGCACTTTTGTTCTGATAGTTTACTGAGCACAAAACACCACTATTGCAATAATTCTGATGGATTGTGCTTGAAAGAAGGGCCATCTTGAACATCCCCTCTCTGAGTGCAAGAGATGAATGTAAAGGAATCCAGCCAAAATAGTCCTCAGTGTTTGGGACTTTGCAGACATAAACATTCTTTTTTAATGTATGTATATATATATGCCTGTTTGTATGAATATTGCTTTATTGCAGTCATCCTTTGTAGCAGCTTTCTTTCTGGGATCCAAGTATATCACATCTAAAAGTACATGGCTGTTTGTGAGCATCAAATTGTTGGGAAAATTGCTTTCCATAGATGAAGAGAGAAAAAGGGTTGTTATATGGGGTTCTCTCAGATAATCTATGCAGATAAGAAAATCCAACTACTTTTTCCTTATTCCCCAGGATAAGCCTCATTGAGCCTGTTGTGCACATTTGATGTGTTTCTGTCAGATGCATGCTTAGAGGCCTAGATATTCGGAAGGTAGATAAGGTATCAGTAATTTTTCTTAAAGGGCCCACAAAAATCTTTTTTTATAGGCAGGGATGATTGTTTACAATGGATAACCCCTCCCATTACACATACTATCCTGACAGATTGTTCTGGAGACTCTGCACTTTTGGTAATCTTAGTGGATGAAGGGGTGTACCTGTTGGTACAGGCATGCTATTGCCTGTCACTGTTTTATGTTGTAGGCGCTAGTCAGTGTCCTATCTTTTTTTAGTGCCTGTTGGTGCTGCCTCTGGAAGAGATATAGGCAGAGGAAGGGATTATGGCCAAAGGAGAGCAGGTCATTTATGACTAATTGCTAAGATGTAAGGAATGGAAACTGAGCATTCAAGGGTCCAGATCTGCTGTGTCTGCTCCCACTGTGCACCACTCATTATATCACAGAATTCTGGAATGGCTTCAGTAGGAAGAGATCTTCAAATCCTCTGCCATGGGCAGCAACACATTCCACTAGACCAGGTTACTCCAAGCTCCACCCACCCTGACCTGGAACACCTCCAGGGATGGGGTAGGAATATCTTTTCTGGACAACTTGTGCCAGTGTCTCATTGCCCTCACAGGGAAAAATTTCTATGCAATACCCTATGTAACCCTGGCCTCTGCTTGTTGGAACCCATTCCTCCTTGCCCCATCACTACATGCCCATCTCCAGCTTTCTAATAGCTCTTTTATGTACTGGAAGAGACTCTAAGTTCTCCCTGGAGCCTTCTCTTCTCCAAGCTGAGCAAGTTGAGCTCTCCTATCCTGTCTCCATAGCAGAGGGACTCCAGTTCTCTGATTGTCTCTGTGGCCTCATCCAGACTTGGTCTAGCAACTCCATGCCCTTCTTAGGTTGAGGACCTCAGAACTGGACACAGTACTGCAAGTGGAGATCTCACAAGAGCAGACTAGAGAGGTGGAATCCTCTCCCTTAACCTGCTGGTCATGCTGCTTTTGGTGCAGCCCTGGATACAATGGGCTTTCTGGGCTGCAAACATGCATTCCTAGACCTTGTCAAGTGTCTTGTCAACATCAGAATCTTGCTCTGGGAGCAAGAAGGAGCCAGACACATTTTGAAAGAGTCCAGAGCCTGAAGCTTCTGACTTCCTCTAAGATTCAGGTGAGCATACAAGATCATGTGAATGAGCTGCAACAAGAAAAAAATTACATTGATTAAGCAATATACCTTATTAAAAAGTTGATGTCAGAAGTGGAATAAAACCTAGAACTCCCAGCTGTCTGCTGCAGGCTGGCATATAATAGCATATATATCAAAGAATACCCAAGCATATTGAAGAATCTTATGCACATATCTCCATGCAAAATCCTTACTCATGCTCTTATATGATACATCATGTTTATCAGGCTTTTGTAAAACTGATCTTACTTGTAGCCATCCAAAAGTCAGAGACACAAAAATCCTGTTTTATGTCCACCCCTTTGAGCCCATTACATTTGTCTATACATTTCTTCTATCTCTCTTTCTCTATCTCATCAAGCATAAGCTTCTTGTTCCCACTTTTAAAATCACTGACAGCCTCTTCTTGTCTTCTTGTCATCTCTCACTTCCCCATCTAGAAGTTAACTCTATGGTGTCAGCTTCTACCTCCCATTAGATCATTAAATCTACTTCTCCTAATCATCCTCCATGCTACTGCTTACACATTGAAGGTGCTGCTTACAATTCTCTTGGGCTACATCAACCTCATTCTTCAAGTCTCCCTGTAAAGCTCTGCTTTACAGAGTTTCTGAAACCTAGATGATATCTAGGCTACCCACATGCTGAGGCTGTTGTTAACTGCTTGCACTACTTCCTCTCTCAGTGGTATCTGTCAAATAATTTATTTCACCTTATAAATTCTTATGAAAAAATGTTATCTTTTTATTGTGTGTTCAACTGGACCCTAAATCTGGGGGTAAATCCCAGAATATTAATTTTGGGTGATAGATTTAGCAATAACAATCAGTCATCTGTGTTTCTGTTAATAAGCAGTTGAGAGCATTTGGAAAATCTGTGTTGTACAAATTCTGGTTAAATTTACTTAAAATTGCTTTTGGGAAGTGGAGACAGGAACCACAGGAGGGGAGGGGAAAGGCACAGATGCAAGGCCTCATTTCCTTGAGCAGGTAACAGGCAGAATTCTGCCCTGGAAACATACAGAAAGGATGGAAACACCATTGCTACCAGCTTGAGACCACTTTGGAAATCAAAGTCACTACCACCTCCAGGTGTAGATAGACTGCTGGCAGCATACCTGATGTATCATTTCAGGGCATCATCTGAGATATTTTGCCTCTTTCCTGCAGAATGAAGGTGGTTCTCCTTTCTAGTTCTCATACAGCTTTTCTGCCTTCACCCACAACTTTGCAGTGCTGCAGAAACTGGACATTAGAACACAAGAAAGCAGCAAGCAGTCTGGTCCCCAAGACATCCAGCTAAGTTTGTCTTCCACTGCTAGAAACTGCTGTAATTGTACCTGCACTTCCTGTACTGGGTTTCCATCTGAGCTAATAGGAAGACTACAAGTCTTGCATATGTTTAGGCAAGAGGTTTCAGCCAATAAAGATAATTTGCCTTTGTAAAAATTCTTCTTTTAGTTTCTGTCTAATTGTATCTACCTTCAGTGTCCAACTACTGGACTCTTTTAATCTTTCTCTCATAGATTTAAAAAAGAAGAAAAGAAAATACTTTTCTCCTACCTGAAATCATCTCCTCATGTAAGATACTAGTGGCTGGTGTGAAATGACTACTTAGCCTTTCCTTTGGCTAAGTTAAAGACATTTACTTGGTCTCTAATTGTTGATTTCTGAGTAAAGTTATCCAGGACTAAATCATTCACACCTCCCTTTTCAGAAGTATTTTCATATTGACAGCAATTTTTTGTTTAAAGTCTTGATTCCAACAGAAGAAATTAATGTGTTTCAAATGCTACATGTAGCTGCAATAACTTTTATTTTAATTGAGATATATCCACAGTCTGTATGTTAGCTCCTCTAATTGTATTAATGTACTGCAGAATCTCATTCAGCTGGTTATGTGCTACTTCCTGAAATTATTTTCTGGTAAGTCTTTCAGAATTCAGTGCTCCATAACCTAATTATGACTAACATTTATGGTTTCTGACACAAAAAATTTGCATTTAAACTTGCTGTATTTGTTTCCAGGAGAGCTAGACAGCCAGAAAGGTCTAAAACATTTCAAACATTGCAGAACTGAAGAAAGAACTTCTTCCATGGGAGTGAGGGGAGTTTATCAATTAGTAGCAATTACCTGGAAACATTCTGTCCTGGTTTATTTATCTTGACCTACGTTTGTTTACTTGTTTGTGTGCCTGAACAAGTTCTTGTAAGCACATGAATAATTCTACTTAATGCAGCTCTCTCTATTTCATATTTAGTCAGTATTACTGTATTTATGACAGGGACCATAAGAAAACCTGATTAGAATGATAAGCACGAGAGACTTCATGCCTCCCATCCTCCTGGTTAGAATCAGCTAATGGTGATGCTTCCTCTCAACAACCCCCACCCTGAAGAGATTCTGCAGCAAAACAGGATATTTATGAAAAACCCATAACTGAAGAGGTGGTGAAGTGAAAGCAGGAATACTCCTTTTCTCTTGATCAGTTTCTGAAACATCATAATTATTTTACAATTTAATTCAGACAAGGGAAACAGGCATAATCACATGCAAGAAGTTATACATGGATGCTGTTGTCTAGCTTAGTGAAATTCACAACTGGAAGGGTATTCTTGGTCGTGGATCAGGTCACTTAATCTCTTCAGTAAAACAATCCTAATGATTACTATATCACAGCCTTTGCTAAGCATAGACTTTTTCTCGCACACTTCTATTCCAGACTGCTTCAGATCCTTTGTTGGTTAGAAATCACAATATTATTCTATAATCAGGCTATATACACTTGGTCCTGTGCTAATGCTGTACTTATTTTTTTCTCCTGTCCTGACATTCCTTCCCTTTTCCCCAGCTTCTTCTGAAAGAGAGATCATAATCTCTGGCAAGTTGTGTTTGGTATTTTTTTTTTTTTCCTTATAATAACTAACCCAAGATCTTTTGAGACTGAACATTCCACCCTCTTGTTACCCTAGCTGTAAAGCTCAGTTCAGTGTCTATGCTAGTCAAGTACTGCAAACATTGTTCCTTTTATATTTTTTTTAACTTTCAAGAAAATGTTTTTGTTGATCCTGATTAGTGCTCTCTGTCTACAAACTCACTCCCAAGTTTTCTGGGTTTCAGGCTCTTTGGAGCAGCCCTCTCCTTGCAGTGGTGCTGGGCCCATTGGCTATGTTCACGTAGCAGCAAATAATGCAAACTGGAAATATCTCTTTAAAACACCACATATTGCTAAAATAGATCAGGTCCATATTCTTCATATGAAATGTTGCAATAAAATGATTAAATCAGAAACCTTTAGTGAAAAAGTATAATTTTAAATTAAAACTTTATCAGGAGACAATCCAGAAAACTGAATTTTCGTTTAAAAAGAAAGAGAGTGAAGCCAGTATAACCTTGTAGATATGTAGAGTCCCATATTGCAGAAGATACTCTTCAAACATCCTTGCATAACCCTTCAGTGAACTAGGGTAATGACTAGGCCCTAAGTATTCTATATCTCCCAATGAGTGCTTTGACCAGGATAATATCAGTTATTGTCTGTATCTGTTTTCTGAATACGCAGAAATAACATTGCTCCAGGAGGCCCCTGAGCTGCAAATGTCCGGAGGCTGAGAATGCTCAGAGAAGAACATCTATGCTCTATTGCTACAATTCTCTCTAAGCATCTGGTTTTGACCATGGTCAGAAACAGGATTTGGGGAAGCATGAACAATGGTTCCAACCCACTGTGGCTCTCTGCTGCTCTTAAATTGTCATAAACCAGATGACAAAAATGCAGGAAGAAAGAAAAAACACCCTCACATTCTCCCACCCTTGATAGAATTGCAGGAATTGTAGATTTCCTTTCAGGCAGCTGGTGCTTTACTGCAAAGTACTATTTTCTGCTATGAGAAGAACAGTTCCTATAGAAGAACTTATATAGCTGAGTTGGTGCCCTCTCTGACAGATTCAGGATCAGCTTTTGTCAGGCTGGCAGAAGCATGCAGCTAATGCTTTAACCCACTGGTAAAACTACCAACAAAACTGCTCTTAATGATTATTTTGTTCTAGATACTATCTGGAATGGGAGGAGTTGTGCGGCAGCTGGGCCTCCAGCTGTGCATTGCTGCTGTGCTGTTCTTTGGTGGAGGAAGAGGAAGAGGTAAGAGGAGATCTGGAATAGGTCCACTGTACAAAATCAGGCACATGCCTGTGCTCATTTTTCATTCACAGACCCTTCAGTATGCAATCCAAAATTTTGTGACTGCCCTGTCCAAGGAACCAGTACAGCTGGCTGACAATGCTAGGCCTATGGTACCATGTACATACTGGATAACCTGGGCACCAGAAAACGTGCAGCCACTGCCGAAGGTCCCTGCACTAAGATCTTACACTCATCTCATGCAGTGAAGTGTGTTACAACAGAGTAAGAACATGATGAGGAAGATCAGATGCAGTGTCAGCAAAGGAAGTACTAGCAAGTAATGCATTTATTAAGTGTGCTGAGCAAGGCATCTTCCAGTGACATATTAATCCAGTTCTGGTCTCCTTCTTCTGCAGAGCTCTCTGGCAGCCTGAGCTGCCTGAATAACTACGTGACTACTGTGAGCTGCATATGGGTAACAGAGAAGCCCATGGGTGATGGACCTTTCCACCTGCATTTCACCAAGTAAGAGCTGCACACCAAGAGCTGTCTGTGGCAGCCCCAGCCCTGGCTTGAACAGGACAGCGCTGAGAAGCAGAGATGGAGCCCCAGCTGTGGGCTTTGTTCTCTCCACAGCAGGAAACCTGTGGCAGAGCTAGCTCTGCCACCCCATCACTCTAGACCTCAGAAGCTGTTGTCTATTGTGTTCCCAGAGCCTCAGGGGCTGCAGCAAAGGTCAAGTGCACATGGCTGCATGATCTCCTTTCAGCTGTGGTCTCTCCATATTTTCACTGAACCATTCTGGCAGGTATCTCAGAGCAGAGAACTTTTCCTTCCTGGCCTCTGGGAACTCTTCCCCATGACTGGGGAACTTCCAGAACCCATCCTTTGTAAAGCTGCCTAATCAACTTCTAATAATTTCTTCCCTTTTTGCCTAGAAATTAAACACCTAATGGTTTAATGTATATTAGTAAATATATAAATACAAGTCCAGTTATAAGCTTTAATAAGAGATTTAGAATATTACCTGAATAGTTTTTCCTATAATAGAAGAAATCAGGTGAATAGTTTTCTAACTGATTGGATAACTCGAGTTTAATGTGTTTAGGTTATGTAGAAACATTGTCTTGACCACCAGTAACTGTTATATGAGGGTAAGCCACTCTGATGTTAGATGTGTCATATTCTGCTATGGTTAAGTGAAAAATAGCCTAACTCTTATTAATATTGGATTTTAAATCTATGGAAAGATGGGCAAGCTGATAATATGTGATATCTCAGTATCCTGTGGAATCACATGCAATGTGAAAAAATTGCTAATGAATGGCTAAACCACAAAAAGACAGAGCAACTTCAAACACATTTTGTTGTCAGTTCTGGTTTGTTTGTAGTGAAAGAGGACTTAATGTACAGCTTATTTTTACCTCTGTACTACACACTTGTAACCAGCTGTCCATTCCTTCCCCCTACCCACCTGCTTTCCTGCAATGACGGCAGCTCTGTCACTTTCAGAGAGAGCAGGGAACAACTATTGGATGCTATGTGCAACCACTGTGAGATTATTCCTGGTTCTCTCAGCAGTAAGGTTATGAAGGTGTCTTCTTCCTATCCAGCCCTGCCATCCACCCAGCTTTTGGATTGCTGGTTTGCTTGTTGTCTGTACTAAAGAGGTTCATGGTCTCCAGAGTGTGGTGCTGTTCTAAGGTGCCACTCATGCATAAACTGAAAAGCACTTAATTGTATGACTTAAAAGAAACTTTCAGCCTTTTTATTTTTCCTAGCCTCTGGTCAAAGGGCCACAATGCCAGCTGCAAACTGACTGCCACAGAGAGCATGCAGAATCAGTACCACTGCACAATTCATTTAGCCAGCCAGATCTTGGAAACAGATGGTTATAGAGTCTCTCTCCAAGGAAACTTCTTTGGATGTAATCAGACATACATAACCTTTCCAGAGTACAATCCTCGCAAGCACAGTAAGTATGAACCAGGACAGCTGTGAGCTGAGGCTCTGCCCAGCAGCTTCAGGACAGGTCTGATAGGCTGCCTAACAAAGGATGTCTCAAAGATAGCAAGGGAAAACAATGAAAGCAATCAAGACTGCCCATCCCCAGAGAGTGCACTGTGTGAACTGCACCAGTAAGGATGCAGTCGCTGAGTCTCTCTGGTCCTGACTTTTCCCGGACTTCAGAGGGGCTGGCTCTGGAGTATCATTCAACAATACTTCTCATCTGCACCATGTTTTCTTGTGCCCTGAGTAATCTGCAGCTGGATTGCTTCAATTATTTTTTCATTTTGTTGTTTTATTTTTCTCTAAGAAATTATGTAATGAGGAGTCATGGATTTTAACTGCATGTCCCATGGCCTAGTACCAGAGAGAAATGGTCAAAACATGTCCATATTTGTGGTATGTTGTAAGGGCAGAAGGTGATATCCAAAGTGGTTCTTTGCTTGCAAGATTAACCCTAGGGACCACTGGAGTTATCATTCATTTATGTCAGATCTGTAGCTGTTCTGATGCTTTAAGCTAACTTGGTCTACTTCTAGTGTTAGTACCTCTTTTTAGACCCAGCTTTATCTTCCATTATTTCAGTCACCCTAATGTAATGAATTTTCTTTTCTGGTATCCCAAACACTGTGAAAAAAAACCTGCCTCCTCCATTTGCAGTAAAACTTGATCCACCTTTGAACATCCAGAGCAATGCCACTGCCAGCAAGTGCCAGATATGGTGGAGTGTGTGGAATGTGCCTTGGTACCTCGCTGAAATTCTCCAATATGAGTTGCAGTATAAGGAGTACAGCATGTCCTGGGAGGTAACTGGATGAGGCATACAGTGATCCTACCTTTTTCTTTGGGTACAACGGCCTTGCCACTGAGCTCCACCAGTGGACTTAGGATGGCCTTTCTGGTTTCCCGTGTTAAGGCTGAGAGATTTTACATTAAACATCAATACTGAAGTTCAATATCTCCTCTTCTTATGAACCCTGTGTCATCATTCAGGCCCTCTTCTTGCATCTAAGCAAAGAAAACATGGAAAAGAAAGGAGAAGGGGAAAACCAACAAAAATGAGTATTTAAAAGACCATCCTTCTGCCCAATCTCATTAACAGCAGTGCTTTGTAATACTTTGCAGGTTGCATTGAACAAGACACTACCCAGTTCACTGCCACAAGTAGAAATTGAAGCCACAGAGCTCCACATTGGCATTGCTTATGCTGCAAGAGTTCGCTGCAAAGTTTCTGAAAATGAGAATTCATACCACAGTCAATGGAGTGAGTGGAGCCAGACGACAGTGTTTCAAAAAGCAGGTACAAAGAATGTTGTTTTCATCTCATTTGATTTCTTTTCATGTCCATGTTCCCAAAAAAAAGAGAAGATATGTGGTAAAATGAAACTTTTCAAATCAGAGCTAGCTTTCTTCAAGTATTCATAGCCAAATTATTTTCCTTAAGGCCTTTAGCTGCCTGTTTCATCTGCAGTGCTTGGTTATTTGGGGTTCTATCTTGACTTCCAGAATTTTTGTTATAAACTTTTGTGCTGATTCTTTTTCTAGACGTCCCAAAAGTCTCTGAAAATATTCTAAATATCAAAACTATGCAGTACTTATTCATTCCTCTGAGTTTTGGCACTCTACTCTATTTATTCTGGAACTGCAAACTTTCCTCAAGGTATGTGATTTTCAATAAGTTCCCCTTGATTTTTATGGCCTGGAAAGGGTAAATCAAGAGTTGTTATATTCATTTTCCTTTCTGTTTCTGCTGCACAGACTCAGTCATTTCCAAAAGGTCTTCTGACAATCTTGGAACGAGACATGTTCCTCAGTTGATAATAGTTAATGACCCACTATACAGTCCTTAAGGAGATCAAAGTACATTTGGGACTCCCAAATTTGGCTGTAATCCAAGGATGATGGCATCTGGAAGTTAAAGAAATTTAAGCATATGGAAGTATTTGAAGTTTCATGTAGATAAATTAAAAGTGCAAGTACGCAGCAACCTATAAAAAGGTGGTTAAACTGATGACAATGCTCAGCTATGTGTGATATTCCTGGCAGGAGTCAGTAGGTAAAATACCAATATAGGCAAAATAAACTGACTCTGATTCATTTGAGACCAAGTTGTACAGAGAAAAATAGTGGTTTTAAAACCTTGGTTCAGCAATCCTCTGCACATTTTATGCTGGCAGAACATAGGTACCTCTTTCTTTTTTACCTTGACATACATTATTATACTCCATATACACATCATTTTTAGAGAAACAGAATACATGATGTCCACATGATAAAATATTTTATAGGATAGACTCTAATAAAGGGGCAAGGACGTCTGGCAGAATTTCTCTGTTTAAATGTAATGAAACTAGCACTCTTTAAAACACTTTCAGAAACAGTGGTTTAGATCAAGTAAGCTGATAAACAAATGCTTAAATAGCTCAGTGTCTATAATGAGTAATACACCAGTATATTAAGTTTGTGGCATATTCCAAAGAAACGTATGAGACTGTGCTTCAGGTTAGAAATGTTAAATGCATGCACAGGTGGCAGAAAAATAATTGCATGAGAAGTCAGAAATTATGAGTGGGCTTCTTGTGCAATCTTACTAACATTAGTGGGGTGGGGTTCATCTAACCAATATGGAGACAGAACACAGAAGAACTCTATATTTTTTTTAAAGTGTTGTTTTCTCACTTTAGGGCAAAAAGCCTCATCTGCTTTAACATTCCCACGCCAGCTGCTTTCTTTCAGCCACTCTATAGTTTGCACAATGGGAATTTTAAGGTAAGAAATAAATTTGATTTCTTTCTTATGACCCTCTGTTCATGACAGAAGGATTTTTTTTTTCTGGGATTAAAATTCTAGCTCCTGAGCAAAGTTACTGACACATGATTCTGATCTTCCTGAAAGTTTATAGTTTCTCATTTTACTGCTTCCGCATACTAGCTAACCACCAGAGCTTCTGTCCAGTCTCTTGCTCCTTAAAAGTGGAACTCCTCCAGTGGCTCCCAGCTCAGACTGAATGCAGAAGGTGCACCTTTTCAAAACCAAAGCAATACCAGCAGCTTGCATTATATTGTGGTGGTGTAATCTTGTAAAAATTCTTCTAAAATTTTGTGAAATTAGCTGCTACGTTTTTACCCTATTATTCTAACTTTGCCTGTTAGATTTGCACTAAACATCTGGGTTATTGTGCCAAAGACATACAAAGAAAGAAAAGTTATTTTGGAAATAACTATGCAAAATGACCCCAGCTTATTGATGCTTTCATTAGGACTGGGTTGGACTGAATGAGGCTTGTAGCCAACTTGAAAGAGAAGAGACCAGCAACTCAAGCAAAGTGAATGCAGATAGTATTTCTGATCTAAACATCCAGGAGCTGATTTCCCAAATCTCATTGAAACCTACAGGAAGCACAGATGTGGTTACTGCAGAAGAAAACTTTGCATTTGCCTCAGGTCCAAGCCAGCAGTATGTCCCCAGCAGGTACATAAGAGCAGAAGAGATAGAGATGAGGCCGGGACTATTGTTTGCACCAAACTATGCTGATGATACCATTGGCCCGAAAATCTCTGAAATAATTAAAGACAACCTTGAGAGCCCTAGTGTTGGAAGGAATTATCCCTCTCACTCACAGCATGGAAAGGGTGACTTTCTTATTCTTCGAGAATCTTTGGGGATAAAAGATGTGTCCTTCAGTGGCAGTGACTATTGTACTTTGTGTGACAATGATACCACAGGAGGTTTGATTTCTGCTGAACTACTGAAGCTTTCTAATGGCAGTAGTCATGTTAAACATCAGAAAGATCAGTGACCTTCCCTGAGGAATACTGCCTACAAAGTTCCTTGTGCTCTCCTATCACCACCCAACACTGTTCTCCCAAGTGGCACAAATGGTGACTGTGCAGACAGTTTCAAATATGAAACACATCTTCAAGTTCTTAACTTCAGAAGTAGATTGTGACTAAGTCCCTTGTCTAGCAAATACTGCCCCTACAGGCATTCCCTAAATTAACCTCTTGGCTGCAAGATCCACTAACCCTCTTGTCTAAGGAGGTAGCAGGGACCTGCTGCTTTCCTCAGGAAGAATTATTATAGTTGTGTGCCTCTTGGAAGCAGCAGTATTTTCAATGTGATGAACCAGGATTTAAACTCCATAATTTTGTAAAAAAATATGCATGATTTTTCACAAAATCATGAGAAACTATTTTTGCTTAAGAAAGTAATTCTGCTTCTTAACATGATATTGATGAATTAAAGGGATTCCTGATTTGATCAGAATTTGTGATTGCTCTGTTTAAAGATAACCAGACAGTAGGCCTTGTTCTTTATTATCTTGAAAGGCTGCAACTTTTTGTTTTGCAATAACTAAGCTTCATGTACAGCTTTAACAAAAATTTATTTCAAGGTTAAGTGGCTGGGCTGATTCAATGGAAAAAGGTGAAAAATAAGAACAGCATAAATGACCTTTACTTAATCACAGAACAGGCCAGGCCCATTGCCTCTCCAGGGCTTCTATTATTTCTCCAGAATTCAGAAGTCCTTTGCCTATCTGCACAACAAATACAGCCTTTGTGAGCTGAATCTCTGGAGGTTTACTTTCTGCCCTAAACACAGAAAATCCTATATGTGATTAATATTCTACCACGCAGTTTTCTGGAGTCTTAGTTGTATCTCTTAAATTTAATGGGCTCAACAGTTTTAGCAAGCATACTGAGATATATACACATACATACGATCTAGCTGACATTTGTATATACACAGTCACATATATTCATTCCTTCCTCTTTGAAGTGCTTCCTTTGTCTCTCTGGTAAGAGCACAGATTAGTTTTGACAAGGCAAAGAAAGATTTCATTTAGAAGAAACAAAGTGGGTTGATTAATCCTTCCCAAAAAGTGTGCTAAACTGTTGTGACCAGTGTTTATTTGTGAGAAAAACAGGGACAGATAGAGGAGTTAACATCTGATATGTGTGACAGCCACAGGAGGTGATAGCAGTGATTAGTTTTCAGTGTTGTAAGCAAAGGGCTTTTCTGATACCTGAAAAAATATCCCATTTCTGGTTCTTGGTGCTTTTTAACTTATAAAAACTATATGCAAGGGTGCTTCTATTACTCTGCCACAATCTAATGGCAAGAGAAGAACATGATGTTGCTGCCATTAACAGTTGCTGTTATTTCCCCAGGATGAGAAAATCAGTAAAACAATGCCACATACCTGGAGGATTTTGGTGATCCCAAACTTTTAGACCCCATAGTGTAGTTTGATGTATTGTCCCAAATTTCACACCTTCAGAATCTGAGGGATACTTTTTAAACATGTCAGATCAATTGCATCTTAGATTCATCAGATCTTGGCAGCCCTTTCTTATGAACGTCTGCCCAGAAATATAACCATCTTCATAAAATCTTGTTTTTTTAATAAGGCATTCTGTTATATTAGCAAAATGAGAGTTATATTGAGATATGAATAAGGAGAAGCAGGTCAGGCTTCTAGGAAAGGGAGAGTGCAAAACTTCATTAATAGAGAAGCAAAAGAAAACTGAGATTGAATGTAGTCAGAAATTACTTGCGAAATGAAAAGTCAAAGACCGTGCTGCTTGTGTCCATTAGGGCAAGACTGGAAGACTATAATAACTGAGTCTGAAGATGATGACAGGCTGATGGTTAAAAGGCTGAAATTATATTCCAGCATCAGCAGTTCTCCAAGTGAAACTCCTAAAAACTTTTAACTGCTTCTGATTTTATGGAATTACTTAAAAATATTAGTTGTTGCAGCTAAAACAAAAATGCCTCTTCTATACAACTAGGTAGTTGGAAAACAAAGCCTCATTTTTATTCAGTCACTGAAATACTACCTATTTTCTAAAAAAGCAAACTATAGCCTGACCCCCTTTTTTTTTTCCCCTTGTTTTTTTCTTTTCATGTTTTGGTGGGGTTTTTTTGTGTGTGTCATTTTTGACACTGGTATTAGGTTCAAGTTATGTGTTTTCACAGCTTCTTTGAGAATCTCTGAACTATTCTAAGGCTGACTTTTGCCTCTAAGAGTGATATATATCCTTCAAGCGGAAGATAGAGAACTACAGTCTAATAAGGAGACATAATACTGGCTATGGTCAAACCTGAGAAGCCTTTCATATCCTGGGACTACTGAGTGCATGCTATATGTATTACCTGCAACCGGAACAAAGTAGACAGCATTTCCCCCATTTTCTTCTGTTGAGTTTTGCCAAAAGAAACTGTTTTGGAAGATATTTAAGTAGTGCTTGTAAGCCACTAGGGAGCTGAAAATGTTCTGTGACAAAGATTTTGGTTTAATTGTAGGTATGCTTTCTGGTGGTGTGTTTGAGGGTTGTTGGGTTGGTTTGGTTTGATTTGTCTGTCTCACCTGGGACTTCTATTCCCATAAACTGCCCAGGGCATGGGAGTTATATTTAGCCTCCACCTAGGTCTGCGGAACACAGTCTTCAGTTCTGTTTTTGTGTCTCTTCATGGCCCCTGCGCCTGGACTTCAGGCAGGTTATATTTGGATTAGCCCCCTTGAGTGGATGTGGCAGTATCTCTGCTCCCCGGGGCCGTGTCCCCCCTCTCGGGGCAGTGTCCCCCCAGTCCCGGGGCAGTGCAGTGTCCCCCCTCCCGGGGCAGTGTCCCCCTCCCCAGGCAGTGTGCCCCCAGTCCCGGGGCAGTGTCCCCCCTCCCGGGGCAGTGTCCCCCTCCCCAGGCAGCGTCGCCCCAGTCCCAGGGCAGTGTCCCCGCTCCCGGGGCAGTATCCCCCTCCCCAGGCAGTGTGCCCCCAGTCCCAGGGCAGTGTCCCCGCTCCCGGGGCAGTGTCGCCCTCCCGGGGCAGTGTCCCCCTCCCCAGGCAGTGTGCCCCCAGTCCCGAGGCAGTGTCCCCCCTCCCGGGGCAGCGTCCCCCTCCCCGGTCCAGCGCGCTGCCCCTCGGCGCGTGGCCGCCCCCTGCTGGCGGATCCCGGCGGTTCCTCCCGTGTCCCGGCAGCGCCCACCTCCCCCGACTCTCAGTAGCTACACACACAGTCACAGTACTACTGCCCTAAGTTACACAGAAGCTTCTTGGTACTCGGCAGTTTCTCTGAGAGGCCTAAAATATGGATAGTCTGAATAGCAAAGGTAGGCTTACAATAAAACGCCCCCACACAGACACACACATCCACTGATCCATGCATCCAACCTACAAGATTATGATCAATTGTTATACTCATCTGCAGAAGGATGAGAAAATTGTCATACATGAAAGCTGATTTAGGCTCTTTAAAAAAATCTTTCTGAAAAAAGTGGATCAACCCTGGGACACGGCAGTTACCCTGGCCCTCCACGCCACCCCCATTTGAAGCTGAATATCTCTATCTTGCAGATTCTGATGTTCAGTAAACTAGATGGTCTTTTCCTTCCTCATCCTTTTGAGTAATCCCTCACAACCCTAGGAATTCCTTGTCAAACTGAAGTTGTTCGCTGCAGCGTTGTGCACCGCTGGCCCCTCCGTCCCGGCACGAGGACTGACAGGAAGCCGTTAACGGGCCCGACCGCACCGCAGGGAAAACAGCCTGTCACAACTGGCGAGGGACCACTGGTGTTATGCAGACGAGGCGGGTTCTCAGGGACGAACACCCGCACTGGAGTTGCATTTATGACGCACTTGAGTTCCGAGCTGTGCGGAGGGCGCGGCACGGCCCGAGGCCAGCGGAGGTGTTGGGGCCGCCCGCCCGGTTCCGCCCTCGGCTCGCAACTTCCGGGGGGCGTCAGCCCGCAAGTGCGCACCCTCCGCTCGGCTCGGGCGCTGGGGCTGCCGGGGGACGCTGTGGCCTGGCCCGAGTGTGAGTGACAGTGACTGCCACCAATGAGCGAGTGCAGTGTGCGGAAAACCCGCCTACGGCGGGGGGATTGTTGTGGTGACGTCAGGGGCGGGGGACGCGGCCGCCCCATTGGCTCCGGTTGGGCCGAGCGCCTGGCGCGGAACGGGAGCGGAGCGGCGCCGGGCCGGGCGGGCCATGGCCAGCACCGGCAGCCCCCTGGTGAGTCCGGGCGCGGGGAGCGGCCCGCGGGCCGGGCGGGCCATGGCCGGCACCGGCAGCCCCCTGGTGAGTCCGGGCGCGGGGAGCGGCCCGCGGGCCGGGCGGGCCATGGCCGGCACCGGCAGCCCCCTGGTGAGTCCGGGCGCGGGGAGCGGCCAGCGGGCCGGGCGGGCCATGACCGGCACCGGCAGCCCCCTGGTGAGTCCGGGCGCGGGGAGCGGCCCGCGGGTCGAGTGGGCCATGACCGGCACGGGCAGCCCCCTGGTGAGTCTGCCCGGGCCGCGGCCCTCGGGATGCTGTGGGAATAAGTAGGCCCGGGCGTAAGGGCCGGCCCGTGAGAGGTGGCGGCCCGTGCCCGGCGCTCTGGCGGCAACGGGGTCGCGGTGGGCTTTGGCGAGCGGCCCGCCTCCTGCGGCCGTTGGAGCAGGGCGGGTGCGCGGGCTCTGCCGCGCGTAGGGCCGCTGTCGTCTCTGCTGCTCGCGGTCCTTCTTGCGCTCCCCGCTCCTGGGTCGCTGCGGGTCCCGCGGGAGGGCTCCGCTCTTCCCCGAGCGTGGCCCGTTCGCGGGAGGAACTGAGGCCGATGATGCAGGGGCCGCACTGCGGCCTCTCGTGAACCTCCGTTTTCGGTTCCAGTCCGGGGCGTTGGCGTGGCTGTGCCGGGCCGTCTCCCGACGGGAGAACAGGCGTTGTTGCCCTGTGAGAGATACCTGTCACTCTATAATCGATTTCTTTTGTAGTAGGAACAAACGCGTGAGGAACATCGCAAGGGTCACAGTAGGACGCCGTTTCAAATGCAGTTGTTTACGTTAGTCTGACAGCGTAAACTCGGTTTGTGTGCAGTGGCATATCTTGAAGATGGAGTTGTAGCTGGTATACAGACGTGGTAATGGTAAATCTTCTTTTGTGTTATAAGTTATACAGTTTAGTTAGCGTAGGCATTTCATAATGAAACGAAAAAGAATCACCAGCTTTCACTTGTGTTGGCAAAATTACCTGGCAGTGATATGTCCCTTATCCTCATGAGCATGCTGCTGTGCGTTTGGGTCTTGTGTTCTGTCAGTTGCAAGTTGCCAAGCTTCATTCTGCAGCACTTAAAACCTTTTCATCAGCTGGAATTGGTTAAGGAGGGTTTTCTGTGGAGAATAGCACAGTAGTGTTATTCTTGATATGCTGTTTCAGTGTGCTCTCCTCTTCGTGCTCAGTGATTTTCATCAGGGTATTACACAAAATCATATTTATTCACTGAAGATG